AAAAAAAAAAAAAAAAAAAAAGCTTCTTATAACAAAAGACATCCCTATCACACAGAAAATTCCAAGAGTTTCAGGAGCTTTGTAACAGGAACCAGGGACAAAAACAAAGCACATTTTTTAAATGACAGAAGTAACTCCTTATCCTATGGCGATATGTTCCAAGACCCTCAGTGGATGCCTAAAACCAAAGACACATTGAATTCTCTATACAAGCACTGCAGTGCCTCAACAGCTGATATATTCTAGTAACTGACACTAACAGGAGGATAGCGTATACAGCATGGATACACTGGACAAAACTGATACATGTGCAAGGAGAACAGAGCAGGATGACACAAGACTTCACCGCACTACTCAGAATGGTGCACAATTTTAAACTTGTCTATTTCTGAAATTTTCTATTTAATATTTTCAGATCTGGACTGACCATAAAACTGTGGAAAGCAAAACCATTTATGAAGGCGGATTGCTGTATGCCACATTGACATTTTTAAAAAATCAAGCAATTACAAAACACTTGGGATGAAAGGCAGTGTGAAAATTGTGCAAACAGTAAGTGAAGTTTGGAAATAAAAGGAGCTGGGCCCCACCTGGAGTTGGAGCTGTGCCTTCCTTGGCTTTCCCCATCAGGCCTGGCTCTGCAACCTGCTGACATGGGACCCACTAACACTGGTGTGCCCATGTGCTTCTTCACATACCGATCCATGGTCCCAGCCCTGCAGCCATCTTCTCCTCCGCAGTCAAGGAAGGCCGAGCCTGCACTGCACAGTCCTGGGTCTCTTGGCTCTCTACAAACAACCCTGTTTTAAGTACCCTCTAGTTTTTTCTTGGTAATCTTATTTCTAGTTATTTGTATTTCTGCTTCTCAACTAGTTTTTTTTGTTTGTTTGTTTTTTGCTTGTTTTTTTTTTTTCCTTTTCTTTTCCAGTACTGGGGATTGAACTCACGGCTCTGTGCATGTTAAGCAAGCACTCTACTGAGCTACATCCTCAGCCCCTTAGTTAAAAAATCCTCTTGAAGTTTTTTGTAGGTGGAAGTCACATCTGTATTCTTCTTCCCAGGCATGGGGCTGGGCAAGATCCCTAACCGGAAGGGTATAGGGATAAGTGTCATCTCCTAGCCAGAGCCAGAGCAGAGCCACTTACCTAATTTCAAATCAAGTTAATGACCTACTAATTACTTCCTTATTTCTATGAGAGGCACTGTCAGTAACACAGTGTTTGGGGATCTAAATAAGCATTCACAGGCTTCCTCTGTGTGTCTCTCAGGTTAGTGTCCAGGACCAAGTACCCATAAAAGTCTCACTTTCCAAAGCAAAGAAACTGTATCGTTTCCACTATGCAAAGACACAGCGAAAGACATTTGGGTCCCAGACCTCCATCCTTCCATATTCTGATCCCCAACATTTCAGATGTAATAAGTAAAATAATAAATTGATACAGTGTGTGGTTGGGAGGGGTAGAATAGGAACCATTTAACTTTCATGACTTTCAAAAACAGAAATCTTGAACTAGGGGGTAGAATAACATTCTCTTAAATAAATAGAATAGTAATGCTGGAGGGCAAATAGCCACATGCGCTCCAGGAATGGCAGGGACAGGCTGTTCTGTGTTGATGGTTCCTGAATCAGTTTTTAACACCCAGCAACATTAACTTCACATCTTAATCAAGGCCAAGGCACTCTCAGCAGCCCTTAAAGCATTACCTCCCCAAGAAATCACTCTAAGTACCATAGGATTGGGGAAAAAAAAATCCTAGGTACTACAAATTGCACTTAGCAACTACCCAACCATATTATTTCCTTCCTGTCTAGTGTAATTTTTCTGTTTTCTTTCTAAAGGACTTCGGCTATTTTAAAAAAATTATCCTCTCTCCTAAATTAACCTGGCTTTTATTTAACAATGAAGCTAAGAGCAAGAGTAAGGAAGTACTCCTATAGCTACCTTATAAGCAACCAAACGTCAAGATTTTCCTCCATAATCATTTCAAATGTAAATTGTTCTGTTGGGGGACACAAGATTGTGGAGAGTGGGGGAGCGGGAGTAGGAAGCCTCACCCCAACAACTAAGCCTAGCAGTGCACCTAGTGGACAAGTCTCACCACTGAATGACAACACAACCTTTCCTTGTTAGTCACTGTTTCATTTATGCAACAAATAATTACGGGAGTCACTGAACAACAGCCTCGCCCTCAGAGGCTTACAGTCTAAAGTTAAACAGGTAATAAATAAACAGATAACCTAGATGATTTCATTAATCCATTCCAAAAGTAATTATTTCATTTTTCAATACTTTTTGAGCTTTTGCCATACAGGAGGCACTGAGAGTCGTCTTCAGGAGAGACAGGCAAGATACCGTGTTCAAGACATGACTTCTAGTGGAAATGAAATAAACAAGATGATCTCGAGTGTTAAGTACTAAAGAATGCAACAGGATGTTGTGATGAAGGGACTAGGAGTAGGAGGATCTGCTGAGGAAGGGTGGTGCGGGTAGGCACAGGGACTGAGGGCGCCGTCTGTCCTGCCGTGAAGCCTCTCCGTCCCAGCGCTAGGCCAGTAACTGAGCTCCGTGCTGGCCCCGAACAGCCCCAACTTGGCGCGCAGGTGGAATGGGACCAGAGCAAACTGGTTGGCTGGCTACTTTGGTTGCCTGCTTTCAGCACTACTGTTGGCCTGAGCCGAGAGAGGAGGGGATAGCAACCGTCTGGAGGTTAACTTTCAAACCCGACGCCGCGGAAACTTATTTGGACTAACCCACAGAAAACAACACTCCAAGACCACAGGCCTCGCAACCTGATTCCATCGCACACAGCGCAAAAAAACTGCTCCGCATCGCCAGGCGCCTGCGCAGCCGGGCGCTGGCCGGCAAGACCGCGCGCT